CCAATTACATCAATAGTTCCGCTAATCAATTTAAGACTATTGCTGAATTCAAGAAGACATCAAACTTGGAAAGAATGGCTGACGCCTACTCTTCAATTATCTCTCATGTTGGTGAGGACGTAAATAGGCAAGGACTCCTGAAAACCCCTGAAAGGGCTGCGAAAGCGATGTTGTATTTTACGAAAGGATACGAGCAACAATTAGATGGTATGTCATCAACTCTACCCTTCATAGGTGCTATGATTCTGCATATTATGGAAGTGAATGAGATCTTTTCCAGATATTTTGAATGAAGCGGTCTTCGATGAGGACCACGATGAAATGGTCATTGTGAAGGACATAGAAATGTTTTCGCTATGCGAACATCACCTTGTGCCGTTTAATGGAAGGGTAAGTTCTTACCGATGGCTTCACTGAAGGCTACCTCCTTCATTCCATCCAAAGGTATTACTATTAATACCTTTAATGAATTACTGTTCAGGTGCACATCGGGTATCTACCCAACAAAAAAGTTCTGGGTCTCTCAAAATTGGCTCGAATTGTCGAGATGTTTAGTCGACGACTTCAAGGTGATCTTTGGATAATTTTCTACGCACATTTCCTCACTGGGACCTCATATTTTCAAAAAACATCTCTATGGTTTCAGTACAAGAACGGTTAACCAAGCAGATAGCGACAGCAATGGTTCAGGCAGTTCAACCTGCTGGTGTTGCAGTAGTTATTGAAGCAAGGTAAGCAATCCAAAGAATGTCTATAACTTTCCCACCACAACTGCAGGCCTCAGCCCTGAACATGCCATTACATGGGGCAAAGTGAGATGGGGCCTTTGCAGTAGGCATAACCAGAGAAATAATCATGGTTTGAATCGCTCCACTGGGAGAACAATCATCCTGAGAGCGCCCAGAAGTAATACTCAAAGGGTCAAAGGGCTAGTGTGCCAGAATTGGGCCCTTCCAATCACTTCAATCACGCAGAGTCAGAAATGGCGGCTGAGAGAGGCTCCAAGTCCGTTCTTATATCCAGACGTTCATTACACTCTTACTGACTTTGATGGGCTGGGCAGCTTTCTTTCTAGAGAAAAACCATGAGGTCCAAAGAAATCCAAAGAAGGGCGTTGCTGTTTTTCAGCAACTACCTCTATGGTAATCAATGCAACGAAGAGTTGTGCTCGCTACGCCCGGTTACGTCCGAGTTGTCATGGCAAGCTAATACTGATGAATGCTGCCACAGTTGTTGAAATCCTGATAGATCACGAAAGAAACCCAATTATCCATGATTTTCTCCAATTAAAACTATACCCTTATATAATTGACCCTTTTCAGCCACATGTGCATGGTTATGCGTGGAGTTCAAAAAATAAATGCGACGACGTCCACCTCCTGTATGCTCGGAGTGTTTAGGTAAGAAAAGTCTCGAATTATCAACTTTCAACACTAATCAAATAAGCAACGCTCCATTCAGAACATCTTGATTTCAGGGATGATCCAAAGACGAGAGAAGAATTTTTGAATCTCATCAACAAGAAGTGAATGGACGGAGAAGTCTCTTTCTACGAGTATGTGACGACATAAATGACCATGTTGTGAAATGTTGTAGGACTTGAAATTTCTCCTTTCTAGATATAATCTTATCGATTGAACGACGAATCGATTGCACGGGTCAAAGACCCATGTTTTTTTGTATGTACGTGTATTTCTATGTAATTGTGTTCTCACGATGAAGCCGTCCGATGCGCTCGAACAGCTTTTCAGTGAAGAAGTTTCTTGCTTTTTGTGATTGTGTTAGTAGGTAAGATGTGAATGCTAGTACAATGGACACTTTCTCCCAACATGAGATGGATATATTGAATAAAAAGTCAGCAGTTGCATTCAAGTGTTGTTCTTCACAGCAT